CTCCCAGACAAAGATGCCAGCTATTCACTTTATCAGCGCTGATATCTTTAACCAATCTTTCCTCTTTGACCAAATTATACCTCCTCCAATTTATCTGATGGGCTAAGCATTAGAAAAAAAATAGAGCTTTTCGAAGTAGGTCTAAAAGGAAGTTCCCATACCATCAAACTCTGGAATGAAAATCCATGCACTTTTCCCACACCAATAAAGTCATATAAAACAGGAAAAAGGACTTCACTGAGAAGGACACAGCGCATATATATCAATTTAAAACATACATGTATCAATATCGCCCTCCTCTCTAGCACCAGTGAACTAGTGTATGTTCCCAAACACTCAGCAACTATCTATTTATATCCACATTTTAAGCACATCTATTCTTCGATAATGAAAGCATGTGGTGCATCTGAGTGCCAAACATAAAACCTGAGATAAACCATTTGAGGATTTGACAGACTTTTTTTTTAAGTTGCACTAGGGATCTCTTCCAAGAATCATCCTCCAGACTCTGTAACAACTGTTTTAACGTGCCAATATAATGATGAGGTTTTGTTAATTTCTGATTCCATTCAACCAACAGGGAGCAGATCAATTCCTAAATTGGTGGGTTTGCCAACTGGCCATGCTGACTGGGGGTGATGGGGGCTGTAGTCTAGCATGCCTGGAAAACATCAGGTTAGGAAAGGCTGGACTGGGGTTCTACAGCTGTGCATCCTTTTTTTAAATCCTCAAAAATCAACAGCGGAGAACCAATTAAAGACAACATAAGAGCAGGCCTGAAGCCATATTAAACTCTAGCCAAACAGAGTAATAAACAGAAATAAGATAAAATTTAATTTTAAAAAATCTATTGCTAGACTATATACCCAGAGCAAGATTGTGTTTTCTCAGTAGGAACAGGCTGTACATTGGTAGAAGAAAAAGAACAGAAGCCTCACAGCCCCAAGGAATCTGTTCATGACACAGATAAATGCCATGAAGTCATTAACAGCCAAGGAAACCAAGGGACCTGGTGCTAATGTCACTGGTGACGCCTGGGGTAGATGTTCACGGCTACCTGAAGGGAGAATACACATAACCGCATCAAGCAAGCCAAGCTGAAGAACTGGGGGTGTTCCATTAAGTTCTGCTTTGGAAAGGAATAAAATATACAGCTCTCCTGAGTCTTCACACACTTGCCATGAGTCAAACTGCCCAAAATTCATGGATGTACAGGCATTAGTATGCCAGCCTCTACCAAGGGGCTTTACTGGTTGAAAGTCAGGTGACTTGTCCCACAGGGCAATGCCAACGAATTGTAACAGTGAACAGTAAACAGTGAACGTCTTCCTAGAAGAAAAGAATATTCCACAGCTTCCTCCATCATCTGGAGAAATGAGACACTGTGGCTGGTATAAAAAATGAGAGGTAGAAGGGGGAAAGAAGAGTAAGAGCTCACAAGAACAAAATCCATCCAGGAGGCGATGAATCTTTAATCGGACCCATCAAAGGTCTTCGCACTTGGCACATTCTAGGTCCGCCAAGTCAACATCCTCTATCCACTGGAACTGTACGACAGAGTACAAATGCTCTACTCCTCTGGATGTGAGTTTGCACAGAGATGTATACTGCACACACTTTTAAAAATGCTCTAAGGTCAACCAAAAACCAGCTAATGCAGCCTCTCTAAAATCCTCCGCTTTGCAGTTGCTTATTTCAACAAAAAGAGAAGCTTATGGAGTCTAACCCTTGCATTTCTCCCAGGGGAAAAGAAGAGAACTGCGGATGCTGTGTCAAACCTTCATTCTTTTGGGTCCTCGTTATTCTGCAGGGATACCAATCTAGGTTAATTGTAATGAGCTGATCTGTAGCTTTCTCTTAACGTTGTGCAATCATTTTCATGACTGGGCACCTCCCCACCCAACACAATTTCCCTGATAACTTTTTCTTTAACGCACACAAATATTGACCCTTTATCTGGCTATTATTTTTGAAATCCTACCAGGAGTAAGACATTCAGAAGGTTCTTTGCTTGTGCAAACATGGCTTTGCATCTTCTACTACTGATGCATATTTCTAAGAAACTACCTGGGGATAAAATTATTAAAGGCAACATGCAAATAAGTCCTGTGGAGGCTTTTTTCCCTTTCTCTGAGGTTAATAAGACAAGGGCAGAAATGCTTCATTCAAGACCACAGCTGGTGTACGAAGGATTAAACCTCCCTTTACTGAGTGCTACAGCCCTAATGAGAATCCAGACGGTATCCACGTATTTATTTAACAGATTTCTAGACCACCTAACAGCCACAGTTTCCTGGTGGGTAAATGAATTCATTAAAAATAGACACTATAACACCAAACCTTATAAACAATAAAAGCAGCAGCGTGGGAGAGATTAAAAAACCAACATTTACAGTCATGATAACAAATATAGCAGATATAATTATAATAAAATGGGCAGCAGAGGCAACATTTGTTTGTTCTGCAATGGCTTCCTAATATGTTTGGGGAAACAGAGAAGTCTTTAATTGCAGCTGGAAAGACTTAAACTAAGTCTAAGTGTAATGAGTCAATGTAAGGGTCAAGTGAGTCTGTTTGGGGTGGGCAGTCCCCAAATAGGCCAATCCCCCCACAAAGGTCCATTGTCTTAGAGCTATCCACCTTGCCTTGCTGGATGGGAGAACTTGGAGGAGGCCTTGAAGGGAAGATTCTAGCTCCAATGAGATAAGAGTTAACCCTGCCATGTTTTTAACTATGGTGTTGTATCTCGTATATATGGAATGCAGGAAGGGGGCTTTCAAACCAGCCCCTACCCCCTGCTTGTCTTCATCTATCTTTGTTTTCAATTGCCTTACTCAATATGGGCACACGGACACTCCGTTCACTGAACATCTTTTTACATACTTCTTTCAATATTCCATACTTCTCAGTTGAGGCCATAGAACTGCTCATGAAGAAGAAAATGCCATTCATTTCTCTATGACAGTAGGAAGCTGCTCTGCAACCATTAAAATTAAATATAACTTTATTAGGGTTTTCCTTATAGCCAGAAAACAATGTAAACACATACCTAGAGCAACAAGATACAACTGTTCTCCAGAGGCAAAAAGACAGCATTCTTATTTCATCCCTTCCTATATCATTCCTTTTACCAGACACATTCTGGTTGTCAAAGTACACTGAATAATTGTTTTGCATTAAGAGATTGCGTACCAGTTACATCACTTGGTTAGTGAAAGGTAACCTAGAAACTGACTCCCAACATATTTGCTTCCGAGGTTGGACGTAAATCATTTGGAAAACAAAATTGTACAGAAGACTGAGATAACTATTGTCCAAAATATGAACTAAAAGGTCAGCTGGTGAACTGTTCTGTGGTGTGTTCCACACTTACACATATTTCTCCCTAAATCCCACAATACCGGCATCACTGAATTTAGCAGTGGGCAAATGATGGTTTTGTTTTTTAAACTCCACCCAGGGATCTTCCCAAGCACCATTGCTCAAAATCGTTGGCATTGTATTTTTTTAATTGTATCAATTTATCACATTGGTTTATTTATTTGCCAATCTGATATAGCACCATGTTCACCCAAACTCCCAACAATATAAATCATAACATTAAAAAAACACCACCACACATAATACTATAAAACCCATCATGCACAAACAATGATAGCCTAATCTAACAAATCAAGGATGTCCACTTCCTTCGTTCTCACAAAGCCCCCTCAACAACTCTACCTTTATCCACTTTCAGAAAACCTCCAGAGTAAGTGCCAACTTCACATGGGAAATTAGAAAGTTTCCTTCAAGATGAACAACTCTTAGTGACTTCAGGTGTGTGTCCATGTAGTTTTCTTGGCAACAATACAGAAATGGCTCGCCGCTGTCTCCTTATGGGATACTGTTTTGACGTCCCAATCTAGTCTATAGCCTTGGGATTCCTGAGGTCTCCCATCTCCTAATCAAGCTCTGTTCTGTTTAACTTTCAAGCTCAATCAAGTTTGGCTAGGTACTACCATCTGCTGAAACTAGCAAGCTTCAAATCAAAGCACTGGCTCAAACATAAATTTTATTTACAAGAATGTTTCTGGGCCTCACAGAGACCCCTTGGAAAATAAAACTGGTCAGAGAGTGCAGCACAGGATTTTATTCAAAGACAAAGGTACTGTGGATAGCCATATGTAAGCTAAGGTCATAGAGAAGATTTGGGAGTCCTCCTAGGGTTGCTGATTAGCATCTCATCAGTTTGGTTTTTGGTAAACAGATGTTCTATGACTGCCACATCCCTTATGGTAGCCATTTTTTGACAGTGCTCATAACATGCTCTCAGAATTTCAGAGGTGTTCATGAGTCCTCAAAGGTTGAGGAAGCCTGATACAATAAGACAAAAGTACAACTAAGTTGTCTCAACCCTGGAATGTATACTGTGTGACAATATTGCAATGAATAAGTAAAGCCAAATGAAAAACAACTCTCAGACAGATTCACACGTGGAGACGCCAGGCTGCTTGAATTGTTCACTGAGATCTGATTGCCCCCTGCTCCCAAATAAATTAAGATTTTTGTACTGAGAACAGAGAAAAAAGGGCAAACTAATAAGCTCCAATTATCCCATTTAAAGAGGACAGAAAAGACCTTTACTTTCAAGCACAAACACAGAGACATCACTGAAATATCATTGGTCAAGCACAAAACCAACTATAGATCTCTGTTTTTGGCAAATAATGTTATATTACATTACTTTCCTGAGTTTTGGGGTTAACTAGGTAGCCCTCATTCCGTGGTTTTCATTGGGTTACTTCCTAGCCATCCTTTACCTCTGTTTCATTACCTCTCCTTTCACCAAATACAAGTGTGTTTTCAGTTATACAACATCCAGGGGTTTGGAATATAGAAAAACCTACTAATGGTTGAAGACAAATCCAGGTACAGTATATGACCTTCATTATGTAAGAGTGGCCCCAACCAAATGGTATCCCCAGTTCTACAAGCATGCCAGATGTTATCTGGTTTACCTTGGTTCCATCCACACTGATTATTCGATAGCTGTTCCTTGTGCTGTCATAGAAGTAGGAAACAGTTACAGCTTGCTTGCTTGCAGGGACCCAGTTCTTCTTGGTGGTGGGGTCAATTTGGAAGACATGTGCTCTGGTGGTGAAGATGGGCTGTTCTCTGGAAGAGGGAGGGACAGGAGAAATGGAATGTATAATGAGTTTGTGACAGATGAAAATGCCTGCAGTCTTACCCTTGAACAAAGAATGTGGATCAAGTCAACCCTAAAATATGGGAGGGAGAAAACAGTTCAGGATAAGAACTCAGGAATAAAAGCAAAACAGCAAATCCTGCTATACTGAGGCATCATCAAAGACTTTGGCTCCTCCCAGGCAATGGCCCTGGGACCTGCCCACAACTGATGCTCCAACGGTTCTAGTTTTTAACATTTCCCATGAGATTATGAAAAACCAGAGGCCATAGATAAATATGTCAGCTCTGTCTCCTATTCCAGTAGAAGGAACATCCTAGCTGTTTATGAGCTCGCAACAACTTTGAACTACAGCTGTCCTCACGCCTTCCTTATTTGTATAAGATTATCTTAATTAATTTCTGAGGCTTAGAATGGATCTTTTCTCTTATCTTAGCTTTCACAATGCAAATAAGCTCACACATCCAGCTAGCCAAACATAGTGTTTTTCAAAGTGTCTATCTTTAGAATCTCTCCACTAAATACATGGTACTGTCTGTACAGTAAATCTCACTATGCAACGACTGGGAATGTCACAACACCCAGAATTCATGCTTTTACCACCAGTCTTTTTAGGTCTCTGCACCAACTGAGTGTACATTCCAGAATGCATCCAAAATTCCTGTGTGAGGCTGCCAATGAGGTGTTCCATGAAAAGAGCATCACTGCTCCTTATCTTCTTACAGGAGGGAAACTTGGGACTCCCCAAACACACAAATGATTGGCTTCACACATGTTTACTAGACCTGGATGGACTGTTTGATCAAGCCACAGAGGTAACTTTCATATATCACCCTAATCAATAATGAGTGATTTACATAAGACACTACATCAAAAACAAACAAGCCACATTCTGCTTTTACATAATGTGTGAGCCAGGCCATCTTGAAAGCCACTGCCTTAATACGCCAAAGGTATAGAAGTTCACCCTTGAGCACCCCAAAGCTGAAGTAAGCTCCCCTAAACCTGCACAGAAAGAAGGGAGATAGAAAATTCTGAAAAGAGCAGCCTAATAGGAAAAAATTAAAATTATATTCCTTCACAGTGAGATATATAGCAGCCCTGACTAGAGCGCTAAGCACCAGCCATGATGAGGAGACTCCAGTAGTTACAGATTCTCACTGGATGACTCCCTAAGCCAGACACATTTGTCAGCCTAGACTAAGTCATTGTGTGGTTGTTAGGAAAAAAATAAAATGAGACTCACAGAGCTCCTTGGAAGGATGGCAATAATAAATATGTCAAAAACATTTAGGATCAAAAGGATAAGCCTTCTACAACATTTCTTTTTCAGGACAGCCACCCAACCACTTTAGAGACAGGAGGAATTTTAGAAGAGTTTAAAAAGCACCAACTGTGGATATGTCAACAGCCAAAGTGAATTTTTTTTCCTGGAAACCAGTGCATTGGAATACCCCATCAGAGTCCCCAGGGTCATATGTGGCCAAAAGGATCTGGAGGCAGCCCCCGCCAAGCTCTTCCACCAAAGTTGCCACCGAATCACAGACTGGGGACAACTTTGGAATGTGGCAGAAGGAGATTACTCCTAGAGACGCTGTAGGAAGTGTCCCTGTTAACTGCATTTAATTCATGTAATTTAATTCAATCTAAATGCAAATTAAACTACACCCATGGTCCTTTCTGAGCACAATCCTTGGCAAGCTGTTCAGAGATAACTGGACCCTTGGCCCAAAAGATGTGACTACAGAACTGCCTCATGCAGCTAGCAGGCCTCTGCAGAGACAAGTGAAGTCAAACCATTTCAGAAGCAAGGGAAACCTGTGTTTATTAGCCCCAGATGTTTCTGAACAGGTGGCTGTATCCAATGGGATACAACAGGCTGCCAAATTATTCCAGGGACCAAGCACCTAGCCATTTGGTGTAAGGATGCAGTCATCACACACCCAGTGAGTGATGACCACACCCTTTCTGCCTTCAGATGAATCATCTCCAAATTGCACAGGCATACACCCTGCCCTGCCATTCATTCACAAAAGGCAGGTCTTTCCACCACTAAAGTCAATCTGTACATACCACCTCAATGTCCTACAGCCCAATGACAAAGGAAAATTATTGGGTCTTGGCGTCTTTTCAGAATGTACCTTTTATAGTATGATTGCTTCATAACATTATGCAAACCACCCTGGGGTAGATATTTCTAAAACAAATAAATAAATAAAAACACAGCCTAAGCTGCATGTGAACCTTGTGGAGAGTTTTTACTCAAAGGCCTCCTATGAAGAGGAAAAAAAAATACTTTAGGGTACTGAGGTAGGCAAACTATTAATACAGAGTCTGACGTTGGTAAGTGTAACTGACCTATACAAACCTGGGAAGAAAGGGGGAAAAGAAAAAAAAACCCTTTACTTTCTGCCTAAGGGACAAAATGAAGAAGCTCACTAATTAAAGTTAATTAATTATATTTTTTTTTGATGGCCCTTGCGATCTCACAGCCAAATATTTCACCAGTTGGTGGAATCCACTTGGTCCTGCTCAATTAATTGAAGGCTCTCATCAATGGAACAGGAAGGCTACAGTTTCTCCCCTTTGCATCCAGACCCTATGCTCAACCCTCTACCTTTCAGAATTCTCTGTAATCGTGATGCTTATGAACCCAGAAAGCTGCTTTCAAGAAGGTTAGACTTCCTATATTTCTGTGAAGCAACCTACAGCCCATATGGCAGTCAGCTTAAATTCACAAAAAGTAAGCAGTTCCTTGAGTCAGGCTCAACTCCTGGGTAGCTTCTCATGCCCAATCTTCTTTAGCTTTTTTTAAAAATCAGCCCACTTCAGCTAGTCAAGAAGAGGCTGCCCCTTGCTAATGACAAGAAGCTTCTATGAACACCAAGTTAGATCTGGAAAAGGAATCTATTCTACTCCTTTGCTGGAGCCTTCTTTCACACAACATATTTACTCTTCTTTGTGAACGAGCCCATTTTCTGAGTTTCCACAATACACTACACTAAACCATAAATTAATCATATGGGATGGCTTCACACAATAGGCTAAGCCTCCCAAAACTAACAAAGATTGCTACTATCCAAGCTTAGCGTTTTTGCAGACATGCAGCTACTAAGTCTTTCAGTGATCTGATTAAACATGTTGTATGAATGCAGTCCAAAAGAAGTAAGAGTGTCAGAAAGAACTGATTGTCCTGTCAAAGGCATCCGTTAGCAGTCAGGATGACATCAAATGACAATATGTATGTCATGAGATCATCATGCAAATGACGATTAAGAAATCTGCATCAGTGGCAAGGTGATGCTCTGATGTTCTGATGCAAATATGTCATGTAAATAATTTGCATGAGCACTTCACAATATGCTGAGGTCATTTGTTCCCCCACATACAGCTATGCTCACTTTTAACTCTTGACCTCTTCACTGCTTGTTTTAACTCACCATGCCCGTCTTGACATCTCAAAAGACTATTCCAAGAGACTGAGACAAGTGAAAAAAATCTGTGTCTACTCTTGATTTACACTGACTGGTAAGTGGTCCCCGGGGAGTCTGGATTTCATCGTTTCATTCTTCCCTGGAGAGGCCAGAGAGTGAATCTGTGACCTTCAGCACGCAAACTGCACCTCTGAGCGATCACCTTCTCCCCATGTTTAGCCATGGAACAAGAGGCTATATTTAGAACAGTTGGCCCATTATGAAGCTGTGAAAACACATAAAGACCTACACAACGTCCTGCAACTCTTGATTTAGAGCAGCCAAGAATGTATTCGAGAAATGTTAGACATCTAATGGGTGAGTCTTAAGCTTTGATCGGGCATAGCAAACTTCTTGTTCATCGGACTAGAATGAAGGGCTAAAGAGTAGATTTTTTATTGGTTTGGGTTGCTTGGTTCTCTTTCACTGAAATATTGATTTGAACAGGTGAAGACAGGCAGAGCTATTCAACCCTTCTTCCTACCAGCAAGACACCACCCCCAGGGATGCAAATAATGCTACTTACAGATTGATATGCACACCAGAGAGACTAATGGCACTTCAGACTCTCTGAAGAACCATACAACGATTTCCCACAGCCCTGAAGGAAAGCGCCCTCAAGAAAAGCCTATTAAGAAAAAAGTTGTGGAGAATCTGGCCAAAGACCAACTGACACACTGAAAGTGTCCCTCTTTCTCCTTCCCCAAACCCTTTTTCCGTGTTAGTCCTATAGCCAAATGGATCACTCCACTGACTTAGCTGTAGGACACCTGTAGCACACCACACTTTTTGTTGCAGCAACAGGTTTCAGACCACTCGTGATCATCTGTTCGCTTGGTTCAATGTTGCAGACCATCTAAAGCTGGGACTTAGCCACCTGCAGGAAGACAGGTACCCCGTTTGTCCAAACAGCCAGGCAGAAACACCTACTGGGAGGGGTCTCCTCTATGGCAGAAACAATGTGAGATCAATGCATCTTCTACAGAGCGGAGTGGAACGCCGAGATGTTCTGGTAGAGGATACAGGAATCTACAGAAACAAGAAGTCATATCCTTCCATCTGCTCAAAAGAGGACCTTCCATTTTTAAAAAGTGAGCAGCTGCTTATATAGATTTGCAGGTAGCTGCAAAGCTGGGGGCAGGTAGCTTCTTCTTCAGGCCTTAGTTTGGGGGGCAAAGAGGCAGGGGAATCAGTACTTCTCCATTGCTGCCTCGCCCCTTTGGGATAAGCCCCCCTCCCACTCCAAATCCAGTTGGTCTCTCCTTCAGTCATCTTCCGGAAAGCTGCTAAAACATGGCTGTTCCAACAAGCCTTGGAGGTTAATATCGGCGTGTTGCCTGCCATCTGTTTGGCAGTATGTGTTCTTAATTTTCTGTTCTTTGTAACAAGCATCATGATGTAGATTTGTGGTTTGGCTCTTTTATGACTTAGGCTTGTGAACTGCTTAGGTGTGCGCAATTATGGTGCTAAGAAAGTGATGGCAATTAGATTACAAA